ATCTCGACATGTGTTTTTTGCGTCAGATCGGAGTAGGAAGTGTTTAGAGCGAGTCATGTAAGTTTCCTTGTATGTAGAGAGAAAATTGGTGTAAGTTCTCTGCAAAACTTTTTGAATTTTTTAGTGGAATTTCTTGATGGTGTGGCTCCGTGATTATTTTTCTTTCTTAGGTATTCTAAAAAGTTGTAGATGGAGGATTTGTTGTATAAAAAAAGTTAAACTTGCCACTATAAGGAATTACCAAGAAGCTTGAGTCTATGCCTATGGAGGAATGGAAAATGATGGATTGAACAGTATTGGGTTTGATCCGATTGTAACTTTTCTTATTTGTTGCGTTCAACATTGCAAACGAGAAAACCATTGAGGATTGCGACATTGACAAAGATGTATGAAAATCCTCCTGCTTTAAATAAGGTTTTTCTGATGAAGAATTTATTCAATCCAAAGACGACGAAAGGTAGTTTAGTGGTAGAGCATATCAAAAATTTTAATATTATGACGAGTCAGTTGTATTCTGTGAGGAACAAGTTTGATAATGAGGTCAGAGTACTAGTAATACTATCTTCATTGCTAGAAAACTGTGATGGTTTGGTAATGACAATGAGTAATTATTCAAAGACTTCAAAGTTGAACTTCAATGACATCTGCGGGTGATGCTGAATGAAGAAGTTTGTAGGAAAACATTGAATGGTAAATTATCATGTTTTAAATTGAATGTTAGTAAAAATGAAGTATTCTAGACAAGAATAAAGGCATAAGCAGATCCCATTCCAAAAAGGAAAATCAAGAATAAGTAAAGGAAATAATAAGGGTGGATGTTGAAACTGCGGCAAGAGGGATTGCAAAGCTTCAAGGAAAGCTAGTGGTGGAGGACATGAAAAAGTCTCCATCTGTGAAATCCAAAATAACTCTCCAGTATTGTCTCTAGTCAGCTTTGAACCTTGGATACTAGATTCAGGTGTATTTTTTTCATGCTAGCCTCAATAAAGAGGTATTTAAGAACTACACTTAGGGTGATCTAGGGAAAGTTTATTTGGGAGATAACATTGCCAATGATATCGTAGGAATGGGTGATGATGATATCAGGTTGCAATGAAACAGTCTGGAAGCTTACTGAAGTTAAACATGTTTAAAGTTTGAAGAGAAATCACATCTTTGTGAGCCAGCTGACAAAGTCGGGACTCGTGACTACTTTCACAGGTGATTAGTAGAAGTTGAACATAGTAAATTAGTGATGGATCAGGACAACATTAAAGGCGCCATTGTCCAATCAATGAAATGGTTGATTTCATTGATGTGGCTAGAACCATGGTGGCAGATCTGTGGCATCGTAATCTTAGCCATATGAGCGAAAAAAGTATGAAGTCCTTACTTTCTATTAATAAGCTTCAGTGTTATCAGGATTTCTATGAACACTGTACGTATGATAAGTAGAGGAAAGTTTCTTTCCTTAAGAGAGGATCAACAGTGAAATAAAAAAAAACTTGAGTTAGTGCATACTGACGTATGAGGTCCTACTCGAGTTCAGTCCAATGAAGGTTCTCGTTATTTTGTCACATTTATTGATGATCACACAAGAAAGACATGAGTTTATTTCTTAAAGTAGAAATCTGACATATTTGAAGTCTTTAAGAAGTGGAAGGCTATGGTAGAAAATGAGACAAGTTTGAAGCTGAAGTATCTCAGATTAGATAATGGGGGCGAGTATCTCTATCAAAAGTTCAGGAAGCTCTGTGCTACAGAGGGGGTTAGAAGTTCACTGTCTCAAGGACACTGCAGTAGAATGATGTGGTCGAGTACATGAATAGAACAATCTTGGAGTGTGCTAGGAGCATGAGACTGCATGCATGCTTGCTAAAATAGTTTTGAGCCGAAGTAGTAAACACTGCAAATTAGATAATGAGGCCGAGTACCATTATCAAAAGTTCGGGAAGCTCTGTGCTACAAAGGGTGTTAGAAGTTCAATCTCTCAAGAACACTGCAATAGAATGATGTGGTTGAGTACACGAATAGAACAATTGTGGAGTGTGCTAGGAGCATGAGGTTGAATGCAGGCTTGCTAAAATAGTTTTAAGCTGAAGTAGTATATACTGTGCAGTTTATTTGATTAATTGTAGTTCATCAGTACATTTGGAGGAAGGTTTACTTGAAGAAGCCTGGATGACAAAAAGGTATATTTATCTCATTTAAGTGTATTTAAATGTTCATCAATAAATCTGCTCTGTATAAATATATTTTTAAATTAAAAACAAAAAAAAAATTTAAATAAAAAGAATGAACTTAAAGCCCTTCAAATATTTTTTTTAATATCCTGTTCCCTGCTGCCTATTAGTACAGTACAATTGCGCCATGTGGATTTATAGTTAGGAGGCTTAAATGAGTTGAATATGGTTGCATTGATATTTTTTTGTTTAACTTATTAATTATTAAGACAAGGACAAATTTAATAAAATTAGTTTCTATTCATTTATTATTATTATGATTATTGTTATTATTTTGATATATTGAATCACAAATCCATGCTTACTCAATTAGGGCAGTCAAAACGGCTCGTTGTTCCCGAACAGCTTGTGTTTGACTCGTTAAGAAACTCTTGTTTGGCTCGTTCGCTAAGTTAACAAGCCAAATACAAACACTTTTTTGTGCTCATATAAATGAGCCGAACACGAACATTGATTTATTCGTTTGTGTTCGGCTCGTTTGGGCTCGAAATACTATTCATATATATATTGACTACAATGCTACAAAGAATATAATAAATTAGAATTATTAATTAAAAAATAAAGAATAAAAATTATTAAATTCAATTTAAATGGTGTTCTAATATAAATAATAATATTTAAATATTGACCCAACCCTTAGCATCCTCCGAATGTGCGATTAGGGTTGTCAAAATGACTTTGTTTGCGAACAACTCGCGTTTGGCTCGCTAAGCAAACGAGCATAACACGAATCCACTTTTTGTGTTCGAAAAATAAAGGAATCTAACATAAACAATGATATTTTTAAACGTGCCAAACACGAGCTGAGCCTGCTCTCGCTCGTGTTCGGCCCGTTTACACCTTTATACTCAACTGCACATACATTAGGCCTCGAACAAAACATCTGATAACTAAACCAGAAAACTTTAATCATTAGCTAAAAAAGAGTTGCACAACCAAACAAGTTGATAGTCATGCCAAGTTCTTTTACAAAATAAGCTAAAAGTATTTATTACCTTAAAAATTAGCTCATTATGGAAGATTATCCAATACTTCTAATTTTTAACACAAATCTTGTTTACACCCCTATAATTATTATGTTGGCACTCCTGATTCAACCATTTTGCAGCATGTATAATAGATTTGATACATACTTCTCAGACCAAGAAAACCTATTATGATGTTTTTATGTGAAGCAAAAGAAATGTATAATAGCATTCCAAACGCACTACTAAGATCATTGGTGATGTATTTCAATCTTGATTAATTTAGTCAAGTTTCAAATATATAGCCAGATGGTGCCTCCATAGTTGCCGCCCATAACTGTCTATCACTACCTGCGGCTGCCACAATTGCTTGCATTTGGCCATAGCCTTCCAAAACCATTGTCTACAACTACCTGGCTCTAGCCATTTGCGATGACCATCACTTGCATTTGTTGGCCCTCATTGTAGGTCACACCATCATCTGGCCGTGTTGTTGGTAGTCACTCGTTGCCACTGCTAGGTAGGAGTTTGTGATTTGTCCGTTTGGGTGGGTCGGTTCTCAAGTTATTCAAATCGAACGAAACATAAATTCAAAATTCAAACAATCAAACCAACTAATTTTTTATTAAATCGATCCAAAGCAGACCGAAATATAATTTGATTTTGAGCAAAAAAAAAAATATCATTAACTTTAAAAATAAGTAAAATCAAGATTATATTCCATAATTGAAAGTTTATATATTTATCTTATTTTACGACCATCTCCTCAAAATTAGAAACTTTAAATTAATGCATATAATCTTGTTATGTGCTCAATTTATACTTTTTCAAGTTAATTGAATTATCTAATACTAATACTATTCCTTTTTCTTATTTATTTATTTTCATAAAGACTATATTTCATATCCTAACTAAATAATTCTAAATTATGTCAAATATGTTGTATGTGAAATATACTGTATCTTTTTCTTTTAAGTAGCATTTCATTTTTAACAAATCAACCGTGCAATTGATTTTCTTACTATATATTACCGTACGTCTAGACGGCCAATCACTGGACGTCATGTCACCATACACCTCATCAACACACAACGTGACACCCTGTGGTTGGACATCCCGACATTTGCATGTCCCGACGAACACTTTCTTTATATCAAGAGATAGAAAAAGTTGTTAATTTTTTTTTTAAAATGATTGTTAACATCTTAAATCCAAACTATACCAATCACAATTTTCTTCGAAAGATGGATACATTGAGAATGAAAAATTTTGTTTTCCAATACTCAAATAAAAAGAATGAACGCGATCAATCACAAAAGATGGACACAAGAATGCAAGTCATGCTTCGTTATTCATCTTTATCATTCACTGTCGGGCAGCAAGCCTAAGCCATTTTCATTTACAACAGCAGGAAGAAGATATAGACTGGGTACACCAGAGGGACATAGATGGAGCAGTGGGTAATTCGGACTGGTTTTGCAACGAAGAGTGACCAGAGTGTTTTCTCTGTGGTTATATTTACTGTTTAGAGTGCTTATTTTGTAAATGTACAAGTTTAGGTGTGAGATATGTAAATTATGTTTTCCTGAGGGATTGCATTTAAAAACCATAAAAATAATTATAACATTAGATATTCAAGTTTTATATTGACCTCACACAAATTTCTTGAATTTTTAAAATGTAGCTTAGTCAATATATATATTATAATATTTCAACTCAAGATTTTTCCAACTAATTTCCAACAAGAGTACACAAATTCTGGATGTAAAGATTGGAATTCCTCTCTTTACAGTTTACACCAGTAAGAGTCCTCCCGTTGCATAAATTTGCACCTAGAATTTCTGGTGGGCGACGAGGACGTAACAATCGAGCTACTCAGCCGCGGACTTTTGATCTCCAACATTCATTCCTACGGTCAATATACCGCCAATGGGCGGTATCAGTCGCCATTTTTTTTCTAATTTGTTGACCACTGAGTCTGGTCGACGCAGGGCGACAACGTGTATCTTCTTCTCTTTTGTTTTGCAAACAATTTGAAGAACCCTAACTTTAATCTCTCTTCCTTTGTCTTCCCTGTCTATAAAGACTCCCATGGACTCGTTCCTTCCCTGCGGCGAGGCCCCACCAAACCGCGAAGAGCTGCTACATCCCTCGTCGAAATCCACCTGTTTCCTGAACCTTCCCGTCGATATAAACGCAATTCACTCCTCAGGTAATAGCCGAAAGTTTATTAATTCAATCATTATTTCCCTATTCGCTCTTTCCATTAAAACAAGATTACTTGCCATAGGCGGTGCCGGCTTGGAGTTTGCGGTGAGAAAGCCTTCCTTTTCCTTCTTATTAGCCCTTAAAAGGCGTGATTTTGGATACGGGTTCTCTCTTTCTTCCTCTCAAAGAAGTCTTTTGAATCGGAAACGTTGATAGCTGTGTGTGTTCTGAGATGCTGTCTAGGGTATTTCATAACGAAGATGGCAAGGATTCGACACAGAGGATCCAACCCAGGGGTTATTTGTTTAGTATCGTCAAGTACTTTGGCCCTTTCTTGCTTCTGGCTGCTGGGTTTTTCACCTTTGGTGCTCGGTACTTCGATACTCATATTTTAAATTTGCAGTCACCAAGGTCTGGTTTTTTGCCCTGTATCACTGTGGAGCCGAGTGGAATGAATCGTTTGATCAAGCCTCCTTCTTCTTTGTCGCATAATATGAGTGATGAGGAGCTTTTCTGGATTGCGAGCTTTGCCCCGCAAGTTAAGAAGTATCCTTTCAATAGGGTCCCGAAGGTGGCTTTCATGTTCTTGACGAGGGGACCTTTGCCTCTCTTTCCGCTGTGGGAGAAATTCTTTAAGGGAAATGAGGGTCTTTATTCAATCTATGTTCATTCATTGCCCGGCTATGAACCCAACTATCCGAAGGAGTCCGTATTCTATAAGAGGCAGATTCCAAGCCAGGTAGTCTATGTTTCTTAATCTTTCAGAATATTTAGTACCTTCTGGAGTCTATTTTACTCCTACTTTTGTTTCCGTTCTTTTCTGCAAGGAAACCAATTTCAAGTTTTGGAATTGTGCTCTTTTCAGTTTATTTAGTCCAACATATAGTTCGTCAGTTTGCATCTTGTTCTTCTTATGACTGCTACTTAGTGGTTATTATACCCTTTCAGAAGGCACAGATATATTTTTAAGAAATAATTTGTGTTTTCATGGATTTATTTTTATTACCTTTTTTAAAGCTGGCTCCTTTATCTTTTGCTATAGTTTAGTGATTCACATTTAGTACCTTTTAGCTTGGCTTGAATAAAGTCTCCATTGGTGTTCCTCTTCTCCTTTATTCTTGACTGCCTTTCTTTTCTGTGGTTAACAAGTGCTGTTTCAGGGGCTATCACTCAGTGTTAGACGATAATATTGAATCATCAATATCTGTGCTTAGAATCTAATCATATAGATCTAGTGCCGTTTAATGCACTTGATTTCTTTGATACACTGAATTATCTTTTATATTCGTTTAGGTTTAATGGGTCCTTTTAGTTATTTGGAGTTCATATATCCTATGATGTTCTTAAGCCATGGTTTTTGAATTAAGCTGTGACAGTGGTGGAGTTTTATTTGCTTCAGCCCATTCAAAGCTTTCTGCTTTCTTCCTCACCCCACATTCTTTTACTGCTTGTGGGCATGCTCATGAGCTGCAGGTACTCCGCTAAAGTCCAAGAGGAACCTAAACTTGTGAAACTTTAAAGATGATGGCACATGCCAATTGAATGATTCTTCTTTAAATGTGAACTGAAAATTCATTTTGGTTGGATGGTTTTCTATTAAGTTAGAAAAAATAAGTAGGTGCACTGTTGAAAAATATGCACATGAGTTTTTTTTTTTTTTCTTTTTTTTTGGGAAATTAAGCGCTATTGGAAACTAAGTTAGAGATTAGTGATTAATGAATGCTTTAAATTTGAATCTCCTAATTTGAGATAAATCTCTCGATCAAGCACATGATAGCATGTGGAAATATTTTTTTTTTCATTTTTTTCTGCAGAGACAATGGGTTGGGTGTTTTATTGATTTCCTGACAAGCTACTCTCCTGAATTGTTAGGGTGATATTAAGGAGAAAATGCTCCAAATTTTTGAATCTGCAATTTGATGTGTATTTTGCTAGCTAGAAGTGTTCAAATAGTCTTCCAAATTTAAAACAAAAAAAAAACATGAAGTTATAAAAAAAAGTCTTATAAATTCAGGCTTGAGATCCCTGATGTCTGTTAAATGTCAATAGTAAGTTTTCATGATGGCCTATTGCATGGAAAACCGCTCCTTGTGTTAGAATGTGTAGCACATTGGCCGGAAACAAAGTGCACTATCCCAAGATGGTGTTGGGTTTGAGAGCTCTCCTTGCCCCAAATAAATAAATAATAATAATAATAAGACTTCTTTATTCGGTTACTCAAGCTCCCCAAGAGATATTGTAAAGACTGTTAAATGGCAATTTGGAAACTTTTACTCCTTTATCTCCTTCTTTAGTCTTGATTTTAATAGCTGGCAGCATAAAAAAATAAACTCTTCTGATGCAACTGGAAGCAAGAACTGCCTTTATTCTGTTTTTTTTCTACATTTTACAAGATTAAATCTAATTTAAAAAATTCTTTTTCTTATGACTCAATATTTTGTTGGTAAGAACGTAAGCTGGCTGTCGGAGAAGTTTTAGGATTGTAAAATTACTTAATGTGTATTAGCTATCAGGATTGCTCATCCATTCTAAACACCATGCTGCTCTTTTGTTAAAATATGATTACTTAGCTGAGACTAAGTTGTCTTCTTGAGTGATTTGGAGTAATAACCTCTTCGAATCACTACTTGTAAATATCTTCGGATAGGCTTTAATTGCACTTATAAGATACCATGTGCTGTAATTAGCATAATGGATAGCTATTTTTTCTTGAAGAGATTTTCATTATTTTTCGAAAATTGTTATGTAATTGGCTCTGATGTTATTTCTTGTATGTCCCTTTCAAAATTTTCTTCTTAGTTGAGTTTTCTTTAATCTACTTTTTTTTAATTAATTTCTTAGTTTTATTGTTGGATGGCTTTCTAATTTTTCTTTTTCTTTCATATGTTTATCATGTTCCATTCTATCTATCATTTATCTTAATAAGGAGGCTTCTTCTACTCGTGGTGGCCGCACCAAGTTTCTTTTTATCATTGTAACTTTTCAAGCACATGAAACTAACTCGGGGCATCTAAAAAATTTTATATTGCAATTGACATCTTGTCAACCATTAAGGACTTGTTTGGGATCAGTCTTGTCTTTTGTCTTGTTTTTTACTTTTAGCTTTGTTTTTAAAAATGTTTGTTTAGGGGCCATTTGGAATCACTTTTTTTTTTTTCATTTTTAATCTTATTTTATTTTGTTTATATTTTGATTTAAAATAAAATATAATTGATTGAACTAGCTAGTTGTTTCTAAAAATATTTAAAACAATTTATAAGCGTTCGGAATGTTTTTAAAATTAAGTTGATATACTTTTTAAAATAAATAATAAAAACAAATAAAATTTATATAAACCAAATTTATTTTCAAAAACAAAACAAAAATAAAAACAAAAACAACCAACAAAAAGTGATGTCTATTTTTTTGTATGCTTTTATTTTTTTATTTTCAACAATAAATTAATATATTTTTTAAATTAGTCTAAAATAATTTTTAGCTGTTTTTGAATCATTGGTTGTTTTAAAAATGAAATATATATTTACATATAGCCATTCATGAACCTTACAGTCCCCACACTCATATGTTCATCATGTTCTCACAGGTAGCAGAATGGGGAAGAATGAGCATATGCGATGCAGAGAGACGCCTCCTCGCCAACGCGCTCCTCGATCTCTCCAACGAGCACTTTGTTCTTCTCTCCGAGTCCTGCGTCCCCCTCTACAACTTCACCATCATCTACAAATACCTGCAGAGATCTCGCTTCAGTTTCATGGGCGTCTTTGACGACAGAGGCCCTCACGGCAGAGGAAGGTATAACCCCAACATGGCTCCATTGATTTCCCTCAATCAATGGCGCAAAGGTTCTCAGTGGTTTGAAGTCAGCAGAGATATTGCAATATATATTATACAAGACACCAAGTACTACGCCAAGTTCAAGGAATTCTGCAGGCCGCCTTGCTATGTCGACGAGCATTACTTCCCCACCATGCTGCATATTGAAAAGTCGAATCTGATAGCTAATATTAGTCTCACCTTCGTGGATTGGTCGAGAGGTGGAGCTCATCCGGCGACTTTTGGGAAGGAAGATATTAATGAGGAGTCTATGAAGAAGAAGCTTCTGAGTGGATGGGAGTGTATGTACAATGGCCAGCATTCTTCTCTCTGTGTCCTCTTTGCGAGGAAATTTGCTCCCAGTTCGTTGGAGCCATTGTTGAAGCTTGCGCCGGCTGTGCTTGGATTTGGGTGAGTGTGGGGGAGATAAGATTGAGGATTGTTCGGAGTGATTAGCGGTGAATGTGCTAATAAATTAGTGTTGGGGTTAGGGTTTCTTAATGTAATTAAGATGATATGTAATGTGTTTTTTTGTAAAGGAAATATGAGGATTTATAGGTTTTAAGTTATTGATTAATCTAATAAACTATTTTTTAGATGAAAATGTATGGTTTTAGAATTTAAAATCGAGTGGTGATGGTGTTATTAAAGGTATTTAGAAGTCTCCGCAAAAAATCAGAATTAGAACATCGAGTAAATCTGAGTTTTGATGATGAAAGTATAATATTGATTATTATTATTATTATTATTTTGGTTTGAGTAATGAATAGAAGGAGAAAATATTATGTCTCAGATGAATGACAATGGTGTTGTTGTGCTATTCACATCATCATCCACACATTCGATTATTTTGATGACGGTGTGCTTCATTTTGAATTTTAGACATCTTTTAGAAAAATAATCTATCTGCATTGAATTTCATTTTTCTCTACCTACTTTAATTTTATTAAATAAATTTTAGAGTTTAATTAGAAATTTTGATTTTTATTGAATGTTTCATTTCAAATATGAAATATAAAAAGCATGTATGTTATTCTTGAGAGCCTTTTGTCTTCTTGAGATAGCAGAGATGAAAGAGATGAACGAGAATATAGAGGACAAAGTGAAATAGGAGAAGAGCAGGAAGCAAAACAATGATTTTATTATATGTGCAAACAGATAATGTATACACATATTTAGCAAAGATAGGGGTAAAATAAACTAGCGGAACATAATAACTACCATATCCTATACAATAAATGCAAACATCTCCTTTCAAGCTAAGTAATTTGTTGAAGAGATGGTTCGTTTGGTGCAGAGTTGCTTAAATCGGTTATTGGTAAGTAGTTTGATCAAGATGTCTGCAATTTGATCGGTAATGATGATGTGGTAAACAAATAATTTGATTTTTGTAGTGACAATTAATTTCAATATGGTTAGTCCTTCCGTGAAACATCATATTATTCGCAAGAGTGATTGCGGAAGTTGTCGCAGTACAAAGTAGTTTTGTAATAAATAACAGAACCATCTGCATGAAGTTAGTTTTGTAAGTGTGTTTATAGCCTAGAAGATTTTGCTTAGAAGAAGGAAGAACTAAGACCCAAGTACCTTGAGCTTGTGAAGCTTGAAATTCTTTTCGGGAGTGATGATGTTTGACAGATTCGATATAGCAAGTAGGATTTGCAGGGTATAATTGATGAGTAAGATTCATAATTTTCTAGGCTTGAATGTCCAGTGTTGAACCGAGTAAGTGTGTGATGATTAGGTAGATGAGAACAAGGCTAGGAGAAGGAATCAAAAAATGTCACGAGTGAGGGGAAGGGAGGGAGAGATCTGGTTGATTAGATCCAGTGAGGGGAGACAAGGGTAGGGGTACGGATAGAGGGTGAGAAGTAGTGAGAGGAATGGGAGATTTGTCGGTCAAAATCAAAGGTGTGGGTGGGGAAGAAGTAGGAACTAAGAGAAGGGGAGGTAAGTAAGGTATAGGCGAGGAGATAAGCGGGGCAGGAGATATGCTTTGTTGATATTAGAATATGGTTTCGTCGAAGATGACATGATGGGATATGCGGATTTTGTAAGTGTGAGGATCAAGACATTTATAGCTTTTTTGAGTAGTGGCGTGTCCTAAGAAAACACGTTGTTTTGAAACAGGGGAAAGTGTGCGTGAAGAGTAGGGACGAAGTCAGGGAAAGCATTGGCATTCAAAAACTTTGATGATTATAAGTGAAAGGTTTATTATGAAGGTATTGGGATTTGGATTAGATGATTTTGGAGGGAATTATATTGATCAAATAACATGCGGTAAGAATAGTATCAACTCATAATGAATGAGGTAAAGAAGCCTCATAAAGAAAAGTACGAGTGGTTTCTAGTATATGAAGATGTTTGTGTTCAACAATATTGCTCTGCTCCTGAGTGTAAGGGCAAGGGTTTTGATGGGTAATGCCATATTGTATAAGAAAGTGTGAAAATGATAGTTAATGTACTCATCACCGCCACCAGATCAAAGAGTTTTAATGTGAGTGTCAAATTATTTTTCGACCAATTGCTTAAACTGAACAAATTTGGCCAAAATTTCTTCTTTTTGTTTGAGCAAGTAAATCCAAGAAAAGCGGGAGTAAATGGTACTTTGGGTAATTTTGCATGGGTATGTAGGGTAATTTGATTTAATTAACTCACCAACAACCAAAATAGCTGTTGTATGTATGTCTTTTTTTGTAATTAAGGATAATTTTGTCATTTGGTTTTATTTGTTTGTATGCTCTCGTCTTCTTCTATAAAAGGGACTTAGAGCATATGAGGGGTGTATGGTGAGAAGTGTAGAAGTTGTAACCACATGTCTCTTTGCGTGGACATAGGCGAATTAAATTAATGCCAAATCACGTAAAATTTGTGTGTTTGATTGTTGTTGAATTTCTTGATTTTTGCATTGTTTTCGTATAATATCAAGGGCATAACCAACATTTTATGGATGATTATAATTTGTTATAAATACATAACAGTAAATATAAAGAAAAAAAAAAACCAAGACTAAAAATTGGCTTGTGCTCTAAAACATCTCCCATTTTTACACTCCATTCATTGGGTATGATTCTCGAACAAATTTTACGCTCAACAGTCATATAATTAAACAACACGACGCAGAATAACCTCCTCCTAATAAAAAGCTCCTGCTTTATTTTTTTAGTTTTCTTTTTAACGTGTAAAGTAAAATAACATCTGGAACAAATTTTACAAATGTTGAACTCTTAATTAATATGTTCATATATATAATTAATTCATTCAAACTCTTCATAATTGGCTGTACGACCAAATTCTCATATGTTGCCATTAGTATAAAACCTACATCATGATCGAATGTTTCATATGAGGTTCAGAAATTCATTAATATTAACCCAAGAGAACAACGAGCCATTTGCCAACAATTCCTGTAGAAAGAAAGAATTATTGAATTTTATTCAACTCGCATTAATTAATTAGAAGAAAAAAAACATCTTATGACTTCAAATATATATATATATATATATATATATATATATATATGTGTGTGTATGTATGTATGTATGTTTTTTTTTTTAAGATTGGTGAAAGGCTATGATACGAACCCCTGACCCCATGGGACATAGATCTGACTTCGCAGATGTCAACCAAAACACAAAAACAATATAAAAAAGCAGAAGAGTCACACAACTTTTTTTAAATAATTACATTGCATCTCCTAAAGCAATTTTAAGTTCCAACACTAGCATGAATATTTAGTTTTTTGCATAGTTATTCTGCTATTCTCTGAATTCTAACATTGTGATCATCTAAGGCTTCATTTCGGACAGTTTATCAGAAAACACAGTTTGTTTTTTACATTAAATGTGAAACGCGGGTTGAATCACACGGTCTTCGTTTCCAAATAAGCGGCTTATCTAGATAATTACAAGCTGCCCCAAACGCATCCTAAGTCGTAGTATTATTTTATGCACTAGTAATAATTGTAATATATTTATTTGGACCATTATGGCAATGAATGTGAAACTATTATTTTCATCTTTGATGAACTTTCATGTGATTTTGAGTGATTGCCAGATAATATAATATATAATTTATATAATTAAAAAGATAAATTAAAATATATTACATACAGGTCAAATGGGCTTTTCTCGATTCTAAATTATCATTCAACCAAATATTATTTTATGCCAATTTGTTTAGGCTTATATTGGGCAAACTTGAGCACTTTGCTTGGCATATCAGATTGGAATATAGAGAAAACTGAGAATCTACTCCCAATTTTATTCGAACATTGTAAGAGCTATATTAAACATGTTCGATTCAAAAGATCATTTTTGTAAGGGATTGGTGTGCGCGGTGGTGGCAGAATAATTATGAAATATCGTATTAGTCTTTCTTGTATATCCATTGCACACTCAATTAATTAAAGAGAAGTAAGCGGGAGAAGAAACCTTAGTTTTTATGAGGAAAACTTGGAAAAGGTAAGAAAATCATGTGTCTAGCTCAATTAAAATAATCCACTTTAAATGGTAAGTACATAGGCCCATCTTCTTCTGAATTAGAGAAGATTAAGTTACACAATCAATCATTATAAATGTACAACAGTAATTCATTAATAGCAGTCGTAGTATGGTTGCAGTGAATATGATTCTCAATGATAACATGATGCAAGGTTCGTAAACGATTGTTGTCAAGACAGTAGTCTGCTGTGAATGTTCTAGATGGTAGATATAGTGTCAGCTTGTCAAATGGATCATAGTTAAAAGTCATGGTAGTAGTTGGTTGTATAGGCTGCAGATGGTTGCTTCAAAAGCGTCAATTAGCTATGGAGGTCGTAGTACTAAGTTACATGAGTTGTGAGTCACGTCAGTCGTAGTTTGTCACATAAGTCGTATTGGTGAGCGTTGATGACTTTCGTAGACCTCAAGGGCAGGACCGGAAGCTGCATGAGCTATGGACCACACAAGTCATGTTTGGTCGTGTGGGTTGTTGCGGTGAGCTATGATTATGTTTGTAAGCTGTAGAGGTCAAAGTTGAGATCTGCATGAGCTATGAATCACACAGGTCACAGTTTGTCACATATGTTGTAGTGGTAAGTTGTGATGACATCTATAGGCCACAACGACTAGAGTCAAAAGCTTCACGAGCTATGGACCACGTAGGACATAGTTAGTACGTTAGGTAATAGTTGTGAGTTATAATGATATCCAAATGTCATAAAGTTTGGACTTTGGAGCTATGTGAGATATGGACCACTTAGATTGTTGTTGGTCATGTAGTTTATAACGGTGAGTTACAAGACGTTGTAGCAATAGATGTCAGAGTTAGGAGTTGGATGAGCTGTGGACCACATAAGCCATAGTTGGGCGTGTGGGCCGTAGTGGTGAGTTGTGACGACATCCGTAGGCCTCAAGAGTCGGAGTTGAGCGATGTACGAGCTGTTGATCATGTAGATTGTAGTTGGTCACATAGGTTGTAGTGGTGAACTATAATGATGCTTGTAGACTGCAGAGGCAGGAGTAAGGAGTTGAATTGAGTCGTGGACCACATAAGTCGTAATTGTT